AATTGGTATTTACTGTGTGGGAAAGCAAAGACGTTACTTTGAGCACTAAGGTGTGCCTGACCCAAAATACAGTATTTTCAATGGCCTCCCATGCAATATGAAAGACAGATATTGAGTACGGAAGACATTTGAATTACAGTGCTGGCAAAACCTGTTGAAAGTACCATGGACTGCCAAAGGAACAAACACACAAAGAAGTACCACCAGAACACTCCTTAGAAGCAAGGATGGAAACTTCTCCTCACATACTTGGACGTGGCAGGAGAGATCAATCCCTGGAGAAGGACATCACGTAAATTTGAAGGGGCACAAACCCGAGGAAGACTCTTGCCAGGATGGATTGCGACAATGGGCTCAAGCAGAAGAGTGGTGAGGAAGGCGCAGCGTTCCCGTCTCTCGTACATAGGGGCGCTATGAGTTGGAACCAACTGGATGGTGCTTACCAATGACAAATATGAAATATTCACTTTGCCTCCTACAACAGCCCTATGTTACTGCAAAGAATATTAAGACCCAATTTTTCTAGGTCATTCTGTCATGCATCCTTTGCATTTATTTGAAAAGTTTCTGTGAAACATTTAAGCATAAATCCACAGCACAATATCTATTCAAATACACCATCAATATTATTTAAGGCTCATTCTTAATATCTAATCTAAAAAAAAAAACCCTCTATTTTCCTTTTACAGTGGATTTCAACCTTCCTAATGCCACGACCCTTTAATAATTTCTCATGCGGTGGTGACCCCCAACCATAAAATTATTTTCACTGCTACTTCATAACTGTAATTTTGCTACTGTTATGAATCAGGCCACCCCTGTGAAAGGGTTGTTCGACCTGCAAAGGGTTGCAACCCACAGGTTGAGAACTGCTGTCTTATACTGTATAACAATAATAAACTCAATGTGTAACAAACAACTAATTTAATATTGTCATACATTTTCATGTATAACAATAATAAACTCAACTTTATGTTTTTGGTTCCCCAAATTACACAAAATATACATTAATTAATTTATTCAAATAAAAACAAAATTATTTATGCAATTCCAGAAACCAAACACACTATCATTGACTTGCTGCTGACTCACAGAAACCTTAATAGGACAGGCTAGAACTGCCCCTGTGAGTTTCCCAGACTGTTCATGGATGTCAAAAGCACCGTTGTTTTCAGGTGGATGACTGGTGCAGCACAGCCCAACACACGACCACCCAGGCTCCTCAACAATTAACTTATTCAAAATATGAAGTTCTTTTTGAATTATCCAGTATATTTTTCAATCCATTAGCCTCAGGTTATTAAAAGAAGATGGCCTAGTATTGACAGCAAAACTCAAAATCATTTCACCATCTGATTTAATGAGTTTTATGTATGAAAAGCTTTATAAAAAAAACAAACACCAAAGATTACATTGTGATTTGAGATTGCATGCCAATGTTCTATGAAAGAAAACATGAATATTTTTAATTATAAATTAATAAATGATGAATTGAACCCTAGCCAAAGTGTTTAAAATTCAACCGCCACCTCAGGCATCAAAGACAAAAACAAAAACAAAAAAATCATATCATTGTGAATGAGGGGGTATGCGGAGTGGGGCCCCAGGGCCCATCTGTGGGAAACTGGACATCGCCTTGCAGAAGGGCTGCGGGGAGGAGACAAGCCAGTCAGTGTGCAGTGTAGCAATGATGAAACATGCAATTTTCCTCTAGTTCTTGAATGCTTCCCCCCCCCCATTCTTGAATGCCTCCTCCCCCCGCCCACTATCATGATCCCAATTTGATCTTACAAATTGGGCTAGATCGGATGATGTACACTGGTACAGATAGGAACTGGAAACACAGGGAATCTAGGGCAGATGATCCCTTCAGGACCAGTGGTGAGAGTGGTGATACCTGGATGGTGGAGGGAAGGTGGGGTAGAAAGGGGGAACAGATTACAAGGATCTACATATGACCTCCTCGCTGGGGGATGGACAACAGGAAAGTGGATGAAGGGAGACATTGAATAGTGTAAGATATGACAAAATAATAATAATTGATAAATTATCAAGGGTTCATGGGGGAGGGGGGAGGGGGGAGGGAGGGGGAAAATGAGGAGCTGATACCAAGGGCTCAAGTAGAAAGCAAATGTTTTGAGAATGATGATGGCAACATATGTCCAAAGGTGCTTGACACAATGGATAGATGGATGGATGGATTCTGATAAGAGTTGTACTAAACCCCAACAAAATGATTTTTTAAAAAAAGATACAGCGCCAGTGCAGTGCTTTGAGTAATTCTGTCCATGTGAGGATGTGATTCTGGTTGTGATGCCATGGATCAGGAGGAACACAGTGATCCAGAACCACATACCATGAAAGTACACGTAAACACGGATGAAGTCTGATTAGCTGTAGGTTATAATCAATGCCAATCTCTGTTTACATGCCTCTCTAATTCTGTGAAGGACACTGGTGACACGGGCTGCTGAACAAGAGACTCCAGTTCCAACCCATCAATCACTCGGTAGGAGAAAGAGCAGGCAGTCTGCTTGTGTGAAGCTTGACTGTCTTGGAAACTCTATGGGGCAGTTCTATTCTACCATAGAAGGTCAGTATGATAGAGGGTCAGATACAGGGCAGCTACAAGTTGGAATTGGCTGGATATCCCAAGCAACAATAGTCGTGTCAGAAGTTACTTTTGAGATAAGCTGAGTGAAAACTCCACAGAGCTTTTCTGAGGTTATTTTTACAACGTTTATGCGTACATAATTATTTCAAAATATTAAAAAAGTTAAATACTTTCTGGATCTTTACAACTTGCCTAAACACCCTGTTTTATTCTACCAATCCAATTTAGTTTTCTGTGTGATGATAGGGGACACTTTGGAGGACTGAGAAGAACCGGTTTCATTACGTGACTGGCCCAGTGAAAGGTGAAAACATAAGACCACTTATTCAAAACACTATGAATTTCAAGATACCAAGCACGGAACAAGTTGGAATCAAATGTGGGACTCATCTCAACCCGGAGCCCTATGGAACTGCTGGCACAGGTCACATGCTGCAGCTGACCCTGGGAGTGCGGGACCCTTTGATTCACAAGCCGGCCTCGGTAAACAGAGAAACCAAAAAAGCAAACCTATTTGGAAACAGAGTGAACTTGAAACATATAAGTTTGCTGGAAATTCCTGGGCATTTAACCAAAATGGAGAACTAGTATTTATCCATGAAATATGACAAATATTAAGTAGAGCAAACGTCTTTTATGCCTGTCCAGAGTGCAACTTGTGCTGAGCAAGATTTGTTATTTTGTGGAAAATTACATTGTTTAACTAAGTGGCTTTGGCAAAGGTCCTACTGTAGCTTGGAGCCACTTTATTATATGAAATAGTAGCTGTAGTTCCTTTAATAATTTCAAATACATTAAACTAAAGCAAATACAGATAACAAATATTTGATAACCCTTTAAAATAGAACTATTAATACACCAAAGCCTTCTATACTTAAGCGTACTTAAGTATATGGAAGGCTTTATTTTACTCTTATTACTTAAAATAAAGCCTTTATATTTAAATGCACCACTTGTCTGTCAGTTGTTCAACTGTGGTGGTTTGAATGAATATTACTGGAAGAGTTATTATCTGTAGCTCCTATAATTTATGTGCTAGGAATAAGCCCACATGTTATTCAGCTACTAATCAAAAGTTCGATAGTTCAAAGCAATTTAATCTCCAGAGGAAAAGGTCTGAGGATGTGCTTCTATGAAAACTGTTATGTGCAGGTGAGTTGATCTCACCTGGGGGAGACCCTATAGGGCAAAGTAGAATTACTGTATAGAGTTTCTTAGGCTATAATCTTTATGGGAGGAGATTGTCAGACCTTTTCTCCTATAGAGGAGCTGGTAGTTTTGGTAAGCCACCAAGCACTAACCCACCACGCCACCACTACTTCAGTAAAGACTGAAGCCAAGGAAGTCCTCAAAGAGAGTTCTCCTCTTATGTGGGGTCCCACAAGTCAACACAGAACTGACAGCAACCGACAACAGAAAGACATTGTTGTGAGAGATTGAGCTCACATCTCCCTGACTTCACACTCATTTTTCTGTACTTCCTAAGTCCTCTTATAAAGTTTGCTTAGTTATCTGAAAGGACAACAAAATATACCTATTGAGAAATGGTAAATACTTAAAATATTTTGCCGATAACAAATATGTAAAAAAAACCATATCAGTACTAGCAAAATGAGGATGCAAAGCAATGTGAGAATCCCTTTCCCACTAAGTTTTTTTTGGGGGGGAGGGGGATTGGGTGAGGGGGGAGCAGGGCCCAGCAAAATCAATTTCAGGAATACCTTTTTGAAAGGTCTAAACTTTACCCAGCATCAAGAATCTTATGATATGTCAGAAGGTGTACAAATGAGTATATGATCACTCAATTAATTTACACTGTTCAATTCAGGGTGAAACTCCAAAGCTATTTCACTTTGAACATGACATATTTAGTTTCTGCAGCACAGAAAAAGCTTACGTTAAGGCAAGTCCTAGGATAACTCAGGAAAAAGCGGAACTGCTTCAAAGTTCACACCTAGAAGTGCACATCTAGGAAATAGATAATACACACCAGAAGATACGGCACAACATTTAACAATCATTCTTTTTTTCCAATAGCCTTGAATAGTTCAAAATTATAAATAACTAATTATTTAGATGATTTTATAATATTATAACCTTTATTGCTTCCTTTAAAGATGGGCTGTAATTATCATTTCTCTGATCAATTTAAAATATTCATGTCAATTAACGTATACTGTCAAAAAGATAACAGGAAGGCTATTTTTACTGTTATGTTTGTAAATGCTCTTATAAATTTATATATAAATTTATTACGTAAGTTTTTCTGAATGTGATACTTATTTTCCTGAGATACCACTTAGTGAAAACATAGATGTAGTCTGAGGATTTTTAAAAGCACAGACAATAAATTAAATATAAACTTGATTAAGAAAATTGAAATATTACACTTACTTGGCAGGGGAGACACCATGATCACGAAGGTGGTTTTCCCCGGGCGAGGCTTCTCCATTGCTCTCCATACGTGCTGACCCTGTGATTTCCCCAGATGTGGGAAACTCGACTGCATAATTTGTGGGAGTGGGGGACTGCGTTCGCGCTCTCCCTTGAAAAAAGAAAAGAAAATTAAAATATTAAAACACACACTTTGATTATTGTTATAGAATATTAATATAGATCTTGGAAGATGGATCATTATTAAAATAGAGCTTTTTGTCTTTTGATCAATATATTTTGGGTTTTTTACTTTTTTTAAGTATACTATAATTAGTTAACTTATCTTGCACTGAAAGAAAATTAACTTCTTTCCAATTTTTCATTAGCCTTAACTACTGTAATACATTATTTACACACTTGTCCAATTATGTATTATCTTATATTGAATTGCTGGGAATGGATTTTTAGACCAAAGACAATGAATAAAATTTTTAGTGATAAATGGGACATTATGACATAAGTGTATTATTTTATTTCTAAATCCAATTGACTAACAGTTGCTCAAAGTGCATAATAGCGTCTTAATCCCATTACCATGACTGCTGTAATTATTTGGGTTTGCAGATTCTTTTTTCTGCTTCTTTTATCTCAAATTTTACTCAAGAGTCAAAATCATACTGGTTCAAGTATTCGATACTTTTAATGCAGTTTAGTATCTGCTAAAATGAGCTCTGTGATTATTCTCATAGGAAACATGCTAGACCACTGTATCACTAGAGTCATTTCATGCTTCGTGTTGCTATTTTTGTTCGAGCAGAACGTCTCCAGAGGCCTTTTTGGCTGTGATGTTATTTGAAGCACATCTCCAAATTGTTCTCACATGAATCCACTGAAGGGGTTCGCTGAGCATGCCTCAAAAGAGGTGAAGGTAACCGAGTCTAAGACATTATTTGCCAGAGATTTTAAAAAAAACACCCAGACGGGATTCAATATAGATTATAATAGCATAGTTCCTCCCAAGTGTATTAATTTAGACATACTTATAGCTAATACCACAGGGGCTATTTTAGAGATAAGCAATACAGCTATCTTTAATATTCTTATGAAAATAAATGATTTTAAAAATAGTTCACAGGAAAAAAGTGGATCTTGTGCAGGAGTTAAAAAGTAATTGTGAAGGAAACAACATTTAGAAAAATGCTCTGAGCTCTAACCATATATAATAATAATTCAACTCGAGTAACGCAAACTCTAATTATAAAAACCTCAGTGGTAAACTTAGCCAACTATATGGAATTAATTTGTATAATTCCTACCTGACTTCAGCTATATCACTTGGAAATGAGATTGCATGTATTGAGGCATTTGTTCCCCCTAAGGATATATTAAATGGTTTTCTGAGATAAAATTACTATGGGAGGTAAGTGATCAGCTGAGGAGTCAGAGGTCCGGATAATGTAAGTGATTTTTCCCCAAGGGCACAGCACTGCTAAGCAGTCCACAGGGAGTAGAAGCCAATCCCCTAAATCCAGATACAATTGCTATCCAAGTCCTTTCCACTTGGTCTTTTATATTATTTTTCTCCCACTAGTTTTACTGCAACCATGCTGAGAGTAACTATTTTTTCTCACCAAGATAATTCAGATATAGCTGGGCCAGGCAAAGGGAGAATCATGTGTGATTAAATGCCTCAGGTATTGATAGAGCTATAATAATTGCTAGCTAGATATTAAAACATTTCCACATGAAAAATAGAACTTTGGGAACTAGAAGGTCAATCTTGAAGAAGCCTGATGAATTCTCTTGAGGAATATATTAACAAGATATCCCACTGCACTCATATATCAACACCGGATTTCTTTAAAAATATATCCTCATGTGTTCAAGAGAATCGGTTTTCATCAATTATAATGTCAACAATAGGAACCAATTCTAAATGGATTCTAGTATATAGATATATATGCTGAGAATAGTGTGAATTTAAAAATGTGTTTCGAAACAATACTCAATCACAGAGGAAGACATTTTTTATGAAAACTCTATTTGATTGTATACATAATGTGATCTTAGTTTTTGAAAGCACACATGCACACATTTGTGGCTATATTCAGAAACATATAGGAGACAATTAACCTATTTAATTCTTGTAGAGCCTTTATAAAAAAAGATATTACCTATGTTATTGTTGTAGAGCCATTTGTAAAAAAGTATGTTCTGAAGTGTATAATAAATACACACTTTCCAATCCTGAAAAAAAGTATATGTGTGCATAGTATTTTCTACTATATTTACACTAGATATATAATATATTAGATAATATTATATATATGATTTTCCAGTCTTATTACAGAGTTCCTGGATTAATGTTTTAATACTTTATATTTGAATATTTTAAACAATTTTTCTAGTATTGAAGTAAATGTTTTCTTTTTATAAATGGCATTATCATCACTCTAAGTACATAAGTATACATCAATAATGCTCATTTAAGGAAATTAAAAGAGTAAGAAAAGCTAATTTAAATTATAAAATTTTGAACTGTGTGCTAAAACATCTGTCTTGATTAATCTAGGGAAAACTAGATTACAGTTAGGTGAATTATTTGACTATATACAGCTCAAAATTTAGATAGGTCAAATTTCTACTCTGATTATGCAGATGTTTTAAAAATCGTTTACTATTTTGAAAAAAGGATTGTAAAAAACATGAGAAATTCGATGAAAACCAAAAAGCCTACATAAGACTCAATCACCATAATCAGTAGACCTTGAAACAATTAAAATGGCATTGAGCAAACAGAAAAGGAATCAGAAAACCCAGGGCTCATACAAACTATGTGAAAGTGAAATTCATATTTACATATGTTAACATAGTTTGGAGAGTTATTTCTCCTAAGGAAAAGAAGTATTTCTTTTTTGCATCAAACTTGTGTGGCTTTTGGAATAACTAAATGAGACAATATGTGTACATGGCTTTTCAGAGGACCTCACGTAAGTACTCAGCTGGAAATATGAGGCTGACTGTAGTATGGTCATGGCTGTTACTCCTATGTATGGATAGTCATGCTATTTTTGTTCAAGCAGTAATAATCATAGTTATTTCACTGTTCACATGAAACTGTACCATGTAAGAAAGATCCTATTTTTATCCCAGTAGTTTTTCTACTTAATATTATTTTCTGTGTGTTTTGCCAAAGTAAACTTTTCCCAAAGCATGTACTTGGTTATTCAGTGATGCATCTGACAAATCTAAGACGGAAACAGAAAATGTATTTTCTGCCCCACTAGGAGGTGAATATTCCCAATGAAAAGACATTTAAAACGATCATAGGATTTTAAAAATTTTAACAACTTGAGTTAATAGTAAAACTAATTATATACTCTGCATTGTGTTTGCCTACCCCAAAACTTTCCTATTTCTAGATTCCATAGCTCTACGTTTATACATCCACCATTTGATGGTCAATTTCTTGCACTGTGGTGGCTTGTGAGTTGCTATGTTGCTGGAACCTTTGCCACTGGGATTTCAAATAGCAACCGGATCTTCCATGGGGGGCAGAATCCCAGATTAAGACGACTAATAAGAAGCAGCTGGTTCACTTGTGAAGGCTTGTCAATGGATACCCTCCTAACAGCATTGGTGCACTCTTTGTTACGATGCTAGAAGGTAAGCCACTCAGGTTAGAAAGGACCCAAATAAGGAATAAAGTTTTAGGTTTGTTTACTGATTAAGTGGGTGGGTGGGGTCAGTCTCAAAAAGAGAAGAAACAGCTACAGACATCTACTAGTAATCCTAAGGTGGACTGCATTAAGTAGGAAATTTGGAGTTTGGGAAATTGGAATTAAAAATGAAATAGAATACATAAAGAGCAATATCCTAATCATCAGTGAGTTGAAATGGACTGACGTTGGCCATTTTGAGTCAGAAAATAATATGATTTATGATAAAGTAAGCTGAAAATTGTAAGAGGAAATGAATCATACTTATCATTAAAATAGCATTTCAATGTCTATGCTGAAATACAGTGGTGCCTGTGACAGGATAATATGCACACCCATACTGGAGGACAGGCAACAGGGCCATGCTTTGCTTGCTAAAACTGAGGCAGATTTAAAGCTCAAGGACTGCAGCTTTCAGTATGGATTCCAAAAACCCAAATCCTCACAACTGAACCAATAAGTAACAACATCATAAACAGAAAAAAGATGGAAGTTGTCAAGCCCTCCATCTTACATGGAACCACAGCTAATGCTCATGGAAGCAGCAGTTAAGAGATCAAACGATGCCTTACATTGGCTAAATCTGTTGCACACGATCTCTTAATGTGTTGAAGAGCAAATAGTTCACTTTTAAAACTAAGATGAACCTGACCCAAGTCATGTTATTCTTAGTATTCTAATTTGTATGTTAAAGTTGGACAATGGATAAGGAAGACTGTAGAATAATCTATGCATTTGAATTATATTGCTGGTGAGAATTCTGAAAGAACCATAGAATATCCAAAGAACAAACATATATATCTTGGAAAAAATGTAGCCAAAATGCTTCTTCAAAGCAAGGGTTTTTAGACTTCACCTAATGTACTTTGGACATGTTATCTGGAGAGACCAGTCCCTGGAGAAGGACATTCTACTTGGTAAAGTAGAGGAGCAGATGAATTGACACTGTGGCTGTAACAATGGGAGTTAATACATATAATATATATATATAATTTCCTAGTTTAATCACATTAAGCAGAATTGCACAATTGCTACTATGATCAATCTACAAACACTCTTTTCCTTCCTGGACTCCTTGACAGTCAGTCTCCCTTTTACAGCCCCACCGCCCCCATACACATTTTACCCCACACCTGGAACACTTGTTCTGTTTGCTGTCCCGATAGGTTCATCAATTCTGGGTTTCTAATACCAAAAAAACCCCAGGAAAACATATAGCAAACTTCAGGAGGATGACCCCCAATGACATAACACCTCTGATATAAATCCCAATATGAACAAACAGAAAACAAACACAGACAGAAAATGCTGAAAACCCTGCATGCATCAGAGGGATCAACTGACAAGGATTTAACTGTTCAACTCAGGTTTATCCCTTTGAGCATCTATACTTATATTTCCAATGCACTGTTTAGTAACCACTCTCCTCTCATCCCTCAATTATGAATGCAGAG